TTAAATTAAAAACAAAAACGGGGGCAGTGGGTATGATGAGAGGTTTGCGCCATGTGAGTCAGCTCCCTGGCTGGGGATGGAACTCATGCCCTAGTGGCTGATGATGGCTTGATAGTGCTGAGACTTACTGCACCATCAGGGAGGCCCCACAGTATGGGATAATGACAGTCTTATCTACAGACCCAAGCTCATCAAAGCTTACAAAGCAAGCCTCTCCTTGCCACTGCCTCTCTCAGTCAGACCTTCAATCACTTTAGTTTTCCCATACTCTCAGAACAATCTTCAATGCCACCACCAAAAATCTTACAGTAAGTGGGCACCGGGTCTCTGAGAATCTTAGGACACAACTCTTCCATCCACCTATGTGGCCTTGTGTTCATGGCTGCTTCCACCCCCACATGGCATATGTGACAAGCCCAAAGTTTAAGGATCATTTGGTGCTTTGTTCTCGCATTACCACATAATCTGAGTTTTCCCCGTTGCTCAAAATGGCTTCCCAGACGCTCATTAGTGGCTTCAAAGCTTAACCCTCTCGTCAAGAACATCCACAGCTGATACAGCTTCTTGGAGACGGACAAGTATGGCAGTGGGAAAGGAGGCACGACGCTTCTGAGTCACCCGAACAGACAAAGCACCTTTCACTGACTCCGCCCTTTTATCCCTCCCGCCTAGGCTCAGGTGAGCCCTTGCGCATGCGCACACACCCCTGCGCAGGTGTCCGTACTCAGGCACTCGAGACTCGCACCCGTGCGCCTTCTGCGTTAACAAGATCAAGGCACAGGTGCTGAAAGTCAGAGACTAGTGGTGTAAAAGCCTAATGAATTCACTTACTCTACAACCAATACATCAGTTCTTTCTTGGAATACTTTCTGATGGCGTAGCTAAAAAATAAGTTATCGCTGGGGTCTCCCTGGCACCATAAGAGTTGAGTCTCAGCACTATCACCACTACAGCCTGAGTTCAATCCCTGGCCAGCTTGCTGACCCACATGGTGCAGCAGACCTGTCTCCCCTGCAGCTCCCCTCAGCAGTAGATCTGCCTGTTCTGCACCCCACTGTCACTAGTGAATCCTTGCCCCTCCACTTCTGGCCTGCACCCCAGCTCCTGTATACATACATACATAAATCTTTAAAAAAAAATTGAGAGGCCCTCCCTGGTGGCGCAGCGGGTTAAAGCACAGCACTGAGAAGCTAACGCCACTTCCGCATGAGTTCGATTCCCGCCTGCCCCGGAGGTGACCACATGGCGAAGCAGACCTCTCCTGACCCGCCCGCTGCTCCCCTCAGCAGTGTACTTCGTGATCTGCCTGTTCTGCTCCCCACTCTGTCTCTGGTGAAGCCTCTCACCACCCCTGAGCCTCTGGCCTGTACCCCAGTTCTGTACGCACAAATAAATAAATCTTTAAAAAAAAAATTGAGGATGTGATTAAAACTGATAAGATTTAAGCTGATTTGTATAGCTCCTACTATAAATTCTTGCCTAGATAAGGATCCTAGCTCCAGAACCAGATTTCCTTAGATTCAGATCTAGAACTTACTGGTTGCATGACCTAGGAATATCAATAAATACCTGTGCTTGTCTATTATAAATAAAACTCAGATGAAAAATGCACAAAATGATGTAAAAATAAACTATTACAT